GGTTTTGGGAGTAAAATAAGAGTCTCTGAATTATGAAAGAAGTCAGTAAGAGTCTGATTGTTGACACTAAAGTCGCGAAATACTCCGAAAACCGTAAGTGTTTCGCGCGACACCGACGCTGCTCGTTTATTATTCCCACCTCCATTCAGAAAAAAGTACTAAAAGCAGTGGCAATCGGGTTCCCACCGCGCGAGACGTGATTTCTGTGCAGTCGCGACTGCGCCGCGCGTTGTTTCGCGCGAGCGTAAATATACCGAAATACGACGAACACGCGGTTGTTCCATCCATCTCGTTCCCCAGCCAATATCCCGTATTATTCTGCGATGCGTCACGTGTCAAATTCTAACGCGGAATATGGTAATTACGACACGCGTCGAAACGTTCGTTTAGAGAGAGAGAGAGAGAGAGAAAGAGAGAGTGTGTGTGTATGTGTACTACTGGGAACGTCAACTATGGACCCGCAGGTGCTCGCGAGCCAGTCATTTCCATTCCTTTCGTAGAGGTGTGGACGCAGGCTGAGAGCTACGTTTCTTCGTTTAATTAGATCATTAATTATATGGTAGCAATCAAGCGCCTGGTCCGTTTTTGGATTCCCAGGATATTCCGTTTGACGTCGGCGATCGGTGGTCAATAATGAAATAATTTAATTAACCGCTCGACAGTCGGGAGGTGACTCGCGTCTGCTCGAAAATAACCTGAAAGAGGATCGATTCGTTGCACCGTGTTGCAACTGAGCACTTACCTGCTTGACATTCATCTGGAAACTGAAAAAAAGGAGCTGACAAGATTCAGCCTGAGAAATAAGGCTCATACCAATTGCTAATTAACACTACCATTTAATATTACTATTCAATCTCCATAAAAATCCCAAGAATAGATTATCTTCAGCTTCCTCAGACACTCATTACAGCATTCAAGTGAAACTACTTCCAAGATCATTTCGAATATCCAATGCTTCGAATATATCAGTTATTCTGATTCCTAAGTATATTATAGCAATATTCCGAACAATTTTCTCCTCTCACAAAAATACCGGCTCACCTATCCTCACAAAAGTTCCAGCGAGATTCGTCTCGATCCCCCGTCGAGATTCTCTCGAGCGCAGGGCGAGGGCCGAGTTAGGGAACGCAGGCTATTCACCGATCATCTGAAACCGGTCGAGAAACTGGCTGCTTCCAGGCGGATTAAGAACACGCGGTCGTCCCCGAAAGCCCGTGGGCCGGTGGGCTGCGCGTGAAATGAGCATTCCCGTTGGCTCGGTGAGCCGAGGAACGGGACGGTCCCTGTTCCACGGAGGTGAGAGCCGGAGGAGGGTGAAAATAATTCGGTGACCTCGAGCACACGGTAATCCTTGGCGTCGACGTCGCGTCGCGGGGAAAAAAGGGGCCGCGACGGCCGAAGGGGACCGGCGCGAAAGGGTTCGTAACGAAGCGAGAGGATTTCTGTGTACAGCCGTATAAAGACGGGATTATAATAAGCCGAGCCGCGTTACGAAATTGTTTCGTTCGGTATTAATAACGGCGGGCCCGGGACACGCGCGGGGGCACGGCCACGCGGCACCCCTTTCGACACGCGGCGATTATTATTGCTGCCACCAGGGGTGTCTTTCACCCCCGGCTGCACCGGCGGCGGGTCTGTTTCACCCGCGACCGCGCGCGCGGAGCTTCATTCCGAGTCATAATAGCTGACCGGTTTTCATCTTCTTAATGCCCCTTTCGCGGGGCAGCCTATCGACGGGCCGGCCGAGCGACCACTCAAAGGAAATAAACCGCCTTTGATAAACTCGCGGAGACGCTTGTAATTGAATTCGACGAGCATTCAGAGACGTCCCGCGTCGCACGCCTTTCCCTTTGAGCGCGGCGCTCGAAGAATTCGCAGTTCGCTGTAATGAGACGCGGGACCGTCCGGTTTCGACGATGTTCGGGAATGATTTGCGCTGAAATGGCTGGCTCGTTCGATTTTTACCTTCCGTCGTGTCGATGCGGATACTTTAACTCTTTGCGCTGCAAAGTTTTTTACTGGAAATACTTAGGCGACCGCCTAGAAAGAACTATACCTACAACCTTCTGCCTTATCTTCAATTATACTCATTTAATTAATTTAGTTAAAAACTATGTTTTGTAGAAACAAGAATATTTGATGAACTACAAATAATCCCACGTCAGGACTTACTAAATAACAAAAGAAAAGATGCACAGAACAAAAGGCAATAAGTTGCTAAATGAAAAGTGGGAGATCCCATTCGGTTGGCTAAGTGTTAAGGAGCGAAGCCACGTTATTAACTTAATTAATCATTTTAATGTCTCTCATTAATCTCTTGTAAAGAATTTCTCCTCGAGCGTTCACAGTACTTTCAATCACTTTATCCTACTACCATCTAATCTGCGATACATTTCTAATCGATTAAGCGAGAAGACATTTCAGGTCGAACCGCAATATGCAAACAAGTTACGCAAAGCGCTGTAGATTCCGTCGGCAGCGAACGCGTTAATCGGTTGACGCACCGAGTCCCCGCTCCGGAATCTCCGATCGCCGGAGACGCCGGTCGCCGCAGCAATTTACTTTCCGCAATAGTCGCAGTGATGACGACGCGCGTCCATTGTTCGTACGCGCTATTAGGTTTCCGATTCTGTCTCCGGCGCGCAACCGTCATCCTTATCGA